ACTAGATGGATGTATTTGTGGAAGCCCCTCTTAAATTTAGAAGTTTATCCCCTGGGTCTTCGTGGGTAATTCAGGTTATTGTAGACTGGCCCCTGGGAATGGTAGTAATCAAAGTCAGGGGCTGGTGATCACCGGAGAGGCAGGAAAGAGAGGAGGGCTTCCTGAGCATTCAGAGTAACATCTCACAAGACAGGCTTGGCCTGGGCTTGGCCTCCCCAAGGCAAGGTGCTGTTGAGACAGATGATGACACCCAGACGTCTAAATGCACACATATTGGTTTCTCCATGATCACACACATATTCTGGGGCTCCCTTGTTTTCTGCAGCGATGCCCCTTCTCTCTTAAAATAGGCTTCAGTCCTTCAGTCGTGGAGGGAAAACTACTGTTTCCTGAGCCGGCACAGCCGCTCTCACCCTTCCATCTCTACACAGATTCCCGGAAGCGCAGCACAAGTTCTTAGGATCATAAACTTCACAAAATCCGAAGGTCCCCGCAGACCTATTGCAGACAGCTGAGAGTGATGAGAGACACTGTGAAGAAACGCCAGTCCCTCTGCAAATGATACAAAGACAGACAGCAAGACTGAGGAGGGAGGGCTGCCGTGTGACAGTACACCCTCTTCCTGGTGGGAGTTCTTAAAGGCTTTGAAAAAAGTTAAGACAGGGGCCTCATGGGCTGGACAGATGGCTCAGTTCTTGAGAGCAGCACCTGCTGTTCTTGCAGAGGACCTGAGTTCAGTTCCCAGTACCCACGTGGCAGTTCACAATCTAACGTAACTCCAGTACCAGGGGATCTAATGCCATGTTCTAACCTCCTCAAGCACCAAACATACACACGGTACACATAACATCCATGCAGGCCAAACACTCACACACACAAAATTGGGATGGATACATCTAAGAAAACATTTTAATAACAAAAAGAGCCTCTCTTTGCCCTTGTTTTAACGCAGTATTTCCTGTACATTACTAATCTAGAAATCATGCTTTGTATAAACCCAGTATAGGTCGTTTAGGCAGATCTGATATTAAACATAGGGCATTCCTACGAACTCACAAGGGCCCGCTTGAGTTTCTGCATGCGACAGTGTGGTGATCTCAGGCCGACTGAAGAGGAGAATTGTCTACCCTCTGAGTCACACCTCATCTTTAAAGTGAAAAGAGGCCATTTGATTTGATCACTCTAGGTAACAAGGATAACAAATTGGTTTACACTGACCAAGATCTCTTGAAACGCATTTTGAAACGTTGACAACATGCTGATTGATGAGGACATGGGGTCTGGAGCCAAACAGACCCTGTTCAGATGGCAGCTCCGACTTTTATAAGCTATAACTCGTGTGAGTCAAATTTGGATGCTAATACCGAATCTCCTGGGAGATGGTGACGTGGCTCAACAGGAAAAGGGGCTTGCCACCAAGCCTGAAGACTTGAGTTCAATCCCTGGGGTTCACATGGTGGGAGGAGAGACTTGAGTCCTACAAGTTACCTTCTGACCTCCACATGTATGGTATGACACCCTCACAGCCACATACATACACAATCAATGAATGAATGAATGAATCAATCAATCAATCAATAAATGTCAAATTTAAATACTGAATCTCCTAAATTAATCCAGAGAAAGCACTTAGTATAGAAAGCTTTTGAGCAGAGAATGACAATTTGAAGTCACTTTGCCCCCAGTGCCCTTGTCTGGGCTGTGATAGTCTCTATATTCAGCTGTAGAGCGAGCATTACTGAAGATGTGCAGCTGAGAACAATGGCTGAAAAAGTGAGCTGGATAATTTGGGGCTTGGCTTTGTTTCTTGAGCAAGAGACCCGTAGTTCAGGGATCATCCTGCTTCCGTCCCCCAAATCTAGGCTTTTTCAAGCTGAGGCAGATAATTTTATTTGCCAGAAACTTTCTTTAAAAACGTTTTTGTAAGAGAATATCTCTAGATCCCAGTGGGCCCACAGGAAGTGGGAAAGATTAGACGCTGTGAACTTCAGGTCACCAGAGCATCACCAGGTTGTACAGAGGGGGCTGGACTGAGGTACTGATGAGGCTGGGCAGTGTGGCTTGTGGAGCAGAAGGCAAATGGCGGGAGGGCCCAGCAAGGATGAGAGAAGAGGGAATATAATGTGTGTTCCGAGTGTGGAAGATGGTGGATTGTTGGGATCTGTGAAACCCCCAGATCCTGAAGTTCTGGTAAACAACTTGTGATGCTTGCAGCTGCTCTGAGCACGAGACCCTCAGAGTTCCTAATGGCAGGAGAGTGGTTTGTGGCGCATTTGGCTGGGCCGTGGCTATCAGTTAAGGCTCCCTAAATAAGCAGCTCTGAACACAATAAAGGGGGCATTTTGGCATCAAGGATGACCCGTGTCTCTGTCTGTGAGTCTTTGTGTGTTTCAACCTCCAGCCCCTTGCCTGGTTCACGAACTGTATGGTAGCGCATGCGCTACATTGGGCAGAAACTTATGTCCCAAGGATACTTGTGTGATGTTAGCCTGTTGTGAAAATACAAAATCCCCCAGTGATCCTGCTTTCAGAAAACCCATGATGAAGCATATACATGTTTCCTTTTCAAAACTAAATCGTTTCAAGATTTGCAGCCTTGATTTGTGTTTTCTTTGGGTGTGATGTCATGAGACCATTAGACTTACCATGGCTGTTCTGACCATATTCCTTTTTTTTTTTTTACTATTTTATTCTAATCTCCATTAATGACACTTATCACTAGATTCATCATTGTAACAATGATCCATACCTCAAGATATATTGTTGTTTCAAATATATCATCTTACTGTTATTTATATGTTTTTGTTTCATCATCTCTTCTATTATATAAGTTATTACTTTATAAGATTTATTGTTATTTCATTTCCTCTATAGAGTACTTTATTTTGAAATCATGTTTTCCAGTTGGGTACTTCTTGGAAAAGTCCCTGTATATGACTAATTCCACTGTACATAAATATCTGTACCCAAAAAACTGTCCCTGTCTCCTGGCTTTATTGTGACTCAATTTTCAGGAAATCTGGTCATTTTCTAAACTATTCAAAGAATTGAACTGAGCCATTCATTTACTGAGCCATTCTGGAATCCACATTAGACTTTGTAAAATATGGGCTTAGATGAGCCAAGAGGCGGTCCCCATTTTTGCCACTGTAGGTTTTCGATAGTTTGTTTGAGAAGCCAAATGCTGTCCGCCATGTGCAGTGATTCAGAGGTAGAGCCATTTGTAGTGATACACACAAGGATCTCCACAAGAGAGATTTGAAGAGATTCGAAGAACACCAAAGTCTGAATGTCACAGGATTCTTTCTGTGACTTATAACTGCCCCGAGTCCCAGCTTGACTATAGGTGGGAGTCCAGTAGACTGGCGTCATCAAGAAAAGAGGTAGGATTTATTTTAACTAGGACCACTTAGATGTGTTGTAACCGGAAGCAGGATGGTTCTGGATCCCTCCAGCACATGATCCCTCCTGTAGCAGCATGAGAATATAAAGAAGAAGGATAGGAGGGTCTGCCAGAAGAGAAGATATACACAGGATGGAGATCATGGACAGTTTGGATGCTGTAGCTGTGTTTCTAGAAGAGGCTCCAAGGATACTAGTCATTCAGAATGATGCAATAGATAGTGGATAAAATGTGGGCCATACTGGGCAAAGATAATGCAAATGGGCCCTTCAGAGCCTGTAGCAATGTACCAGTGTGTCTGAAGTATCTCCGAGAAGACAGCATGGGACATGAATGTTTTAACTTTTCCCAAACTTATGTAACACAAAACTGGATGTTCTCCAAAGGCTAGGGATATAGCTCAGTTGGTAAGGTGCTTGCTGAGCTTGCACAAAGTCTGGGTTTGAACTCCAGTACTACACACGCCTGTAATTACAGCACTTAAGAGGCACAGATAGGAAGACGAGAAGTTTGGGATCATCCTCCGTAAAATGGAGAATGGCTCAGTAAATGAATGGCTCAGTGAATGAATTAATTTGGGCAGGTAGCTAAAAATTAGTAGGAGGGCATCAAAGTAAAGAGAAAACGTGTGTGTTAGTGCTAATTAAGTGAACTGTTTTGAACCTAAACACCCCTGCCTTTGGTACTTTTGGTACTTTGGTGCACCCATCACCCCGTCCTGCATTCTTCTGTACTTTCTTGTTTCCAGTTGTAATATGAAATTAGATTATTTATCTGAATGTGTCTCCTTATAAGCCATTTCTTTCTTACCTTTATAGATGGTTCTGTTCTTGCAAACTCCCAAGTGAATATCAGTGATACAGTTTTTGAAGGGGTGGGATGGTAGAATATACTAATATGCTTGGGAACTGTGTGTATAGAGGGTCTAAGGACCTAGTCTACATCTTTATAACAAATATGTACATACAACAAATAATGCACATACGAGTGCATACATGATGCTTGGGAACTGCGTGTATAGAGGGTCTAAGGACCTAGTCTACATCTTTATAACAAATAATGCACATACGAGTGCATACATGATGCTTTGGAACTATGTGTATAGCGGGTCTAAGGACCTAGTCTACATGTTTATGACAAATATGCACATACGAGTGCATACATGATGCTTGGGAACTGTGTGTATAGAGGGTCTAAGGACCTAGTCTACAACTTTATAACAAATATGCACATGCACGTGCAGCCTTCTTCTGTCCTCAAATTCACCTGTGTCCACAATCAACCTTATTTATTTTAGCTCTGATGATTAACCAAGGAAGATAAAGAAGCAGATGATGGTATATAAGATTTCTTAGTGAGCTTGTTGGATAATTATGTGTTAAATTAATGCCGCTACTAAAGGAAGATAAGCCCCTGCCTCCACATCCTGAGGATTCAGGAAACAAATGTGAGAAAAGTCTCTATGGTCATCATGACAGTATAGAGTTACTCACTAACCAGAGGATTTGACTGAGAAATCTACAAGGTTTTAACTGGCTTTTTGACAGGGATCTCAGCCTTGGTATAACCATAAGTTGTGTTATTTTTTTCCCCGCAGAACGCCAACCGGGCATCTCTATGGCCAATTCCAATACTGTTCCTTCAAGTTCAGCTGGCATCAGCAAGGAGCTCCTTGATCTCCAGCCCCTTATTCAGTTTCCGGAGGAAGTGGCGAGCATCCTGACAGAACAGGAGCAGAACATTTACCGAAGGGTCCTGCCCATAGACTACCTTTGTTTCTTAACCCGGGACTTGAGCTCCCCTGAATGCCAGAGCTCCCTGCCCCGTCTCAAAGCGTCCATCTCAGCATCCATCCTCACCTCTCAGAATGGCGAGCACAATGCCCTTGAAGACCTCGTGATGAGATTTAATGAGGTAAGGAACCACTCAGACATCTCCATATTTGAGCCACCATCTGTGATTCTTAAGCATATTTCTCGTCTGGGGTCTGTCTTTGATAACTCTTCTATCTATCTGTCTTGCTGTTTCTATGAAGGCCAGTTTTCTTTCCAGGCCCTGAAATAGCCACCACAGTCTTCTTCCTTCTCCCTGCAGCCTAGCTGCCTGCAAATCTGATGGACTCTACAAACATTTCAGCCCCTAGACTCCCCGCCACCCACTCCCAGCAGGGTTTCTAAGACCTGTGTCTCAACTGTGAGCTTTGACAGCGTGAACCCTGGCCACATCTATCACTTCTCCTCAGAAACAAAGAAGACTAGTGCCTGGGGTTCCGCATGTAAGGAAACACGGAAGTCGTTACTGAGGGGAGTGAATCGCTCCACTCCACTCTCTGCAGCCTTTCAAAGTCCTCACCACCAGAAAGTCACCTTAAGGCCTCAGAGAACATGCCAGATGCCAGTTCTAAAGAGTGGAAGAGTGACTGGAGTTTGGGAACACTGAAGGTGGAGCTTCTGTGTGGCATTCAGAGATGGAGCAGGCATGGAGAGGCCATGGTTGGCATCACTATGGCCTAAGTCAAAGAGGAAGTGACAGGAAGGGGATGCAGGTCTTTGTCTTAAAGGAGCCTTCTCTCTCCATAATGTGCCCCACACCCATAGAGTTCCTTTTGTTGTTGTTGTTGTTCTATTTATACTTGTATTTCTTTTTGCCCCAATTGTTAAGTTACACATTTTTAATATGGCTATTGTAGGTTCTTGGTTAGTTGAATTCCACAGATAGCACAGTTTCTGATTTGGGTCAGTAGTGAGCACCATCTAATGCTAAGAGGACTCTCATTGTGGGTCATGTGTATCTCTGGTTGACAGAGGGCCAGTCAGCCTTTGCTGCGTATGCCCTTCCTACCTCCAGGCCTCAGTCTGCAGCCTCCATATATGGCCAGAAAAGACCCTGTCCATGGTGGTAAACACTATTGACCAGGATGAAGCCCAGTAAATTAAAGAAGTTTTAGAGGCTGAGCCCAAAGGGCTCCATGTCCAGGCATGTCCCCAAAGCCCATTCCTCAGAGAGAAGCCTGTGTCCACAATGGCAGATTCACGATGACCATTTTACATGTGTCACTTAGGATCTCTTCACAGTGACCGTGGGGAACAGCTTTCCCATCCTACAACAGGGAAACCAGGGTGTAAGGACAGTCACCAGCTCAGACTACACAAGGGATGGGTGGCTGTTGTGAAACACAAACCCATATATGCCGGGCTTTCGCCACTACAGTGTCCTACCTGTCTCCTGCACGGAAGGTGATATTTGCTGTAGCTGTGGCTGTCCATGCACTCCAAACTAAAATGGAATCACTGGGAGTTCACAGGAGACCTTGGAAACCACACCAAGCCAGAGTTGTTGTTTTTTTTTTTTTTTTAATAAATAAATCTCCTGGTGTTCTTGATTTTTCTTACTGATAAAAACGGACGGGAAAATGAAAGTTCCCGTAAACGGAGTGATTTTACTGTTTCGTGACTTATTTTAAATTCCCAGCTCTATTTACTCTCGTGTCTTTAAGACCCTATTCTTGTCCTTTTTAAAAAAAAAAAATTAGACCTTAACTTACAAGTGAATTGCCAGAAGTTTTAAAATCTAATTTTAAATCACAGCTGGACTTTTTCCATCTGTGCCACAGCCTTGGGAGGGAGCAGAGCTAGGCATGGGGCACCCACATCTGGGGTGAGGTACGCTTCGGAGCATCTCTGAAAATAGTTTAGCAGTAACTTCAGAACGTAAACAAGATTTCTGGGAAAACACTGGAACTGCTTATGAGAATAGAGTGTTTTCAAGTGTCCTCGAGCATCTATTTTCATAGAAATCAGAGGCGAACTAATGAACGCATCAGTCTGGGCCGCGATCAAAGGCAGATTCCAAGGGGTCGCCACCAGCCAGCCTGGGCGGGGTTGATTCTGTTCACCCTGTACTAAAATGTGAAAAGGCTGTGTAACATTCGAAGGGAACGATACAAGAGCACCTTTCGAATACTTACAACGGACTACCTCCAAATTAGAGTGCCTCTCCACAGTGGAATGAAAGAACATGGTGTTGGGGAAACAGGTGGAGCCTGGAGGTCACCGGCCAGTGCAGCCCAGCTGAACTGATGAGTTCCAGAGTCAATGAGATACCCAAAATACTCAAAAAAAAAAAGGTGGAGAGAAATTGAACTGGACACCGACCTCTGGCCTCTACGTGTGTGTGCGCGCGAGCGCACATTGACACACATCTGCATTCACATGTACATATACATATGGCTATCTAGGTACATGCACCGCAACACAAACAGCGATGGTATTGAGGCAATTAAAGTCCACATGAAAACACAAGAGCCACCAACTCTGTGTGCAGAACCACTGATGCATTGCAAAGTTATTAAGCACAAAGAAATGGATGAGAAGTGGGTGTATTGGCAGGATCCCTAAGCAACTTTCCACAAGATCCTTGCCAGTCACGTGGAAGAATAGAAGAGCGCAGAAACCCAGCCACAGATACTATCTGAAGCTTCCTTGACCAGTAAAGATACATATCCAATTGTGCCCTTACTTATCCTGCTTTAAAGAGGTGTGATGTCACCTCTGTGTGTTCTTGCCACAGAGGCAGACCTGGCTCTAGTGGTGGGAAAATGTCAGGCATACCCAGGCTGAGGGACAGGAAACATTCTAGAATGTGTCAAGGTCATGAAAGGTGAAAATTCCGAGTCGCTCTCAGCATTGGAGAGGAGACTTGACTAGCATATGTAGTGTCAAATTCTAGTGAGCTTGAGACTTGAAAAAATAAAGTGAAAGTGATGTGAAAATAGGAAGATGCCATTTTTATATTTTTCGATATTCAACTGTAAGTCAACAATAATTCAGCTGTGCATTGCGGTGTTGGTGTTTGTTTATGTCCTGGTTTTCTTACTGATGCTGTGGTTGTGAACAACATTAGCATCCAGGGAAGGTGGGTGTAGCATATGTGGGAATGCTATACTGTTTCTACACCTTTTTGGTAAATTTAAAACAATTTCAAAGTAAGTTTTAAAATATCACAATGAGCTCAGAAAGGCGGAGTCACTTGTCCAAGGTCGCACAGTAGCTAAGTAGATATCAGACCCCGGTTTCTCTTCAGTCTGTCCTTTCTTACTGCCTTTCTGCTTTTTAAATTATGAAACCAACTTCATACTAAAACTGGAAGTTCTGATTCAGAATTTAATTAGCCTTAATCTCTTTCCATGTTTTTCTCTAAGTCTCTTGAGCATTTATTTTTCTTTCTTTGTTTCTATTTCTATTTTTTATCTGTTTTCTATTTTCTAGACCTCTGCCACCAGACCCCTATTCATTCATTCATTTATGCAAGATACTGGGCTTTTGCCTTCTCTCCTTTCCCGAAATGATAGGCCAAACATACATTTTAAAATAAAAAAACTAGCAATATTTCACCATGGAACTTAACAACATTAACTCATTAACTCATACTTTGGTCTTGTCAAAAGCATAGGGAATTTATTCCTTAGCACATCACAGGATCCCAAAGAGAACGCCAGCCATTGCAGAGCATGAGTCCCCGGGCAGAGGCAGTTGCGTTTATTGGTGCAGTCAGTCATCCTGGCCCATTTATTCAGCACATCTCAGGAGCGGGCCAGTTGGTGGATGTGCTCTAAGGAAAGTAAATAAGAGTCCGCAGCTGCCAGAAGCTACCAGGGTCAGACACAAATAACTACCAAAAAAGGCAGCAAGTGCACATGGTGTGAGTGCCGCCGACGGTGTGGGTGGAGGGGCTGCCGTGAGAGATTGCAGCCCCCTCTGCTGAGCTCCGAAGTCTGAGGCTGGGCCTTGAATGACAGATGATACCAGAGAGGGAGAAATTGTGGGACAGGCAGGGGCATCGCACCAGGAAGGCAATCCTCTGAATGCTTTCCGTTCTAAGCAAGACTTCCTGGCATAGTGAGGTAGCTCACACTTGAGCACCAGGAGAACCTGTGAGCTAGACATGTCTCGCATCCCAACAACTGTGTGCACAGACTTGTCTGTAATGAGGGGAAAGGGAAGAAAATTCCTGATGCAATGTTGCATAATGTTTGCTCTGAGGAAAGTATGGCGGAAATGCAGCTCAGAGCAGAACCGTAAAACAGCTGGACTTTTTTTTTACTGACTGACATGTAGGAAGGCCAGGAGATAAATCACTGGCAGCATTTCTTCCCATGCCCTTTTTCTGTTCTGGAAGAGTAAGGTGCCCCTTAGGCAGACACCTTACCATGTCTTTCTCCTTGAGAATACCCAGAATCCCATCTGAGGAGACAGTCCGTAAGCAGATAGGCATCAGATCTATCCTGCATTCAGCCCTGTGTATTTGGTCTGATAGACAGATCTTTCTGAACCTTTTTCAGCTGGACCTGTCCCTCAGGCCATATCTGTCCCATGAGCCCAAATACCCCCTCTTCCTTTGGATGAGCTGCCCTGCTTCCTGCCCACACACGAAGCCTCTTTCTCGGAGAGTCTCAAATCACATTCATCTCCCTCTCTTCTTCCTTCACCCAGTTTCTGCTGCTAGCCAGCATTCTCTTTGATCTTGCTTTGTTTTCATTCCCCTTACAATAAACTCCCAAGCCATTTTCCTTTTCTAGAGGAGACAGGGGTATTTTCTTTACCACAGAGATCAGAAGCAGCTGAGAAGAGGCAGGTGGAATTTGAAGTTCCCTGCTTACTTTTTCCTTGCCCTTTTTCTCATCCTGTCCACGGTGTGACAACGGGGTAAGGGGCGAGTTTTCCAGGTTCATAGTTCCAAGTCTTTACTCCCAAAATCTTATGCTCTGTATATGGCCTCTGCCCTTGGGTGCTGTTCCCCTGTGGGGACTGGTTTGCAGGATCTGTTCCGAAAGTGACTTTTGGACTCCACAGCTCACACCCTGACCATGCTCTCTTCCATGTCACAGATAGTTGCTACCTCTGGCTGGAGGGTCT